CTAATATATTTCTTAATTCTTCACAGAAATTTGCAAGTAGAGTAAAGCTAATAATCTTTTTCTTTTCTTTTGCCGTTCCAAAAAATATATTTCTATTTTGTTTCTGTGATGATAAATATGTCCGAGTTTAAAGACTGAACAAGTAGTGTTAAGAAACAAATTACAAAATCAAACAATGTAGTTGACGAGTGAATCGTATTTTATCAATGCATAGATGACATCTTTTTGCCGCTAGAAACCCTGGTGTTAATCAGTAGCCGTGAAATAAAACAAATAATAACAGCAAATCGTACCGTAAACTTACTTCAATCATTAATAGTTTGATAAATTCTATGAAGAAAATTAATTTAAAATGTTCAATATTAAAAAGCAACAAACTGAATCCGAAATATTTTATTCCAATTATTTGGTTCATAAATTATCCTAATAGAATTTGCAAAAGAAAAATATTCCACCTGGTGATGAAGTTTGGAATGAAATTCAGAAATGGAAAGACAACTACCTGGATGTTCAAGCGACCCTAAAGGAAAGCCTCACAATATCATCGTTAAATTCCACACTACGTCACGAGGTAAAGTGTTCAAATAACTGATTAAACACAAGAAAACTTCTTTGGATATTACTTTTAGTAATACAAATAATTTACAGCCTTTTGAGAGAAATATCTTTCAATGATTTATTACAGAAACTATGGCCGTCCAGTTGATTAATTCAACTTAATAATGGACTGAAGTCCGGTTCCTCTTGGGTATCGGAATAACGAAAAACTTTCTACAACAGTTACGATTCCAGGCTAGGCCTAATATAGTTTAGAAATATTTTATCTCGTGAGGAAACCTCGTGACAACATCTCGGAGTAAGACCCTCAAACTTGATAAGGAAAATATTTCAGCTAAAAAAAAAATCCCTTTTTAATGAAGTTTAAATTCACTTAACTAGCTCCCTCTGTCGGTAAACTTGTAAAGCTTAAGCTCCCAAATAGATTACACTTGAGAAGAAAGCATTAGGAGATCCAATTTTTTTATTAATTACGTATTATTTCAAAAGAGTGTCGCATATCGATTAGTTGTATATATTTACTAAACAAATATTATATTACAAACCGGCTCCATTTTTTGTTTCTGCACATTCCCAAAAAATGCATTTGATGTGATACATTTTAAAGTTGTTTTTTGTTTAATAATAGAAGTTATTTTTCCTTTAATGTTTTATAACATTTTCTCATACGTTCAACTGAGAAGTCTTTAACGATAGACACAGTATCAATTCTCTTTTGATGTTGGATTGTTTATCCAGAAAATCCAAGTAAATATGTGTGTGTTGTCCACGAAGTGTGAAATGAATACTTTTTACATTCCATATTCTGTTTCTTAAAATAAAGTAATTTTAAAATTAAATATGTGTGTGTTGTCCACGAAGTGTGAAATTAATACTTTTTACATTCCATATTCTGTTTCTTAAAATAAAGTGATTTTAAAATTAAATATGTGTGTGTGTTGTCCACGAAGTGTGAAATTAATACTTTTTACATTCCATATTCTGTTTCTTAAAATAAAGTAATTTTAAAATTAAATATGTTTGTGTGTTGTCCACGAAGTGTGAAATTAATACTTTTTACATTCCAGATTGACCTGTTGAGAAGAGCAATGGCGGTGAGTAAAAACAAAAACGAAAAATAATAATTAAATATTGAAAGTGTAGTTTGACAAATTTCAGCGTTATCTACGTAACTGTCATTATGTTAACTTGTTTTATGCGTAAACCTGCACAATGAATAACCTGCGCTGTGCCTAACGCAGGAATCGCACCGCGTGTTTTAGCGTTATAAGCTCTCAAGCTCAGTCACAGGTGTATCGTTGTGTGTACATACATAATTTTTAATATCGGATTCAGAGAAAGTGACTATCATATTGATTGATTTGTTACTTAAATTAGGAGTAAATCAACTAAACGCAGCCCTACAGGCGGCTGTTTGTGCTCATACTTACTGATCGTACTATTCCTACTTCATTGTCAAAAATTGAACATTTTCTTTGTTATTTATATTTCTGGGAAGTACTGCACAGGAAAAGTGTTCGGATTGTACTCTTTTAGTCATACCCAACATTTTTACCAAAGTTTAAAGCCTATCCGTGTTGCCGTTTCGGACATATTTATATTTATTGTTTCGGTCACATATATAGATAGATATATATACGGCCACGCCATCGCTCCATTATTGTAAGATATTCTCAGGTTTAACTTTTAGATGATGTCTGATGTTTACTTACAATTCACTGCAGTTAATTCAACAAAAAACAAGAGAAATCAGTGAAGGTTCGGGGGACACGCTTCCCCCGATATTTTTCACCATTAGGGTGGCAGTTTGGGGCTATTTTTATGCACTGGGGACCAAGATATAATGGTAATCAGGAAAAACAGGAGCAAAATTAAGGTGAAGATATGTTAGTTAATGACCAACTTACACTAACGTGAAGATATGTTGGTTAGTGACCAACTTACACTAACGTGAAGATATGTTGGTTAATGACCAACTTACACTAACGTGAAGATATGTTGGTTAGTGACCAACTTACACTAACGTGAAGATATGTTGGTTAGTGACCAACTTACACTAACGTGAAGATATGTTGGTTAATGTCCAACT